TGGACTGTATAACTAAGATTTACGCTTCCGCTTACATTTTGACGATCTTTTGACGAAGTTTTGATGATTTTGACGAACTCATCGTATTTTGACGAACTTTTTAGAAAACACAGTTTTTCAGTAACCGGACGTTTTTATTAAATTAAAACAACGGTTTTCTAAAGTAAGTAAAGATTTTTCACGGTAGCACCCCAAATTAGTTTCGCAAAGTAAAAATGTTTTAGTTTTCAAAGACTTTGCGAATAAATGCGCAACTCTGATTTATCTAGTAAGGTGGGGTGTTACAATTGGTATCAGAGCACGTTTCTGCGTCTCTGATAAGTTTTCAGTCAGAAAGGTTTTCAGTCCGAAATTTTCAGAAAAACCCGAACCGTCATGTTCACGCCCCGCCGACGACAGGTAAGTGCTGTTGCAATTCAGTTTTTCAGTTATTATAAACATATTACTTTGTCTATGCTCAGAATTGAGGATCAGAACTTTAGTTAAGATGCTCGAATCAGATTCAGACTCTAGAGGTTGGACATGACTCTAGTATTCAGGCATTCAGATATGACTCTAGATGTTAGGGTTTGCCTATATGACTCTAGAGTTCTTCAGGTTTCACGTCAGTAATTATCGGCCAATTTTTGGCAACTCGTCAAGAGATCTGTGTGCCTAGTAATCAGTCAGTAAGGTTATCACGTAATATTCAGTAATGTTAATCTTTTTCAATGTTCAGATGCCGCCTCGTAGAGAGCCCGATCATCAGGGTCCTACTCAGGCTACGGTAGTCGCTCAGTTCCGCGACTATCACGCAGAGAAGTTTTCAGGACAGGGCGACCCCCGGATCGTTGATGAATGGATTCAGGGGTTGGAATTTATCTTCGAAGTTATGGAATGCCCCGATAGGTTTCGCGTAGTCTGCGCTCAGCTTCAGCTCACTGGCGATGCGAGGCTCTGGTGGAATGCCTACTGGAGCATGCGTCCCGGTGAAAAAGCGGGTTGTACAAGGGACATGTTCAAGGATCTGGTCCGTGACAAGTACTACCCTTCATACTATCGGGCAGAGATGGAGCGCCAGTTCTTAGCGCTTCAGCAGGGAACTCGTACTGTCGATGAGTACGAGCGTGAGTTCACCAGACTTGCAGGTTTCGCACCGGATCTTGTTCGCACGGAGGCCCAGAGAGCTCAGCGGTTCATTGACGGACTTTACCCAGCAGTCTGTCATAACATTGTGGGACCCGGGACTCAGACGTATGCACGAGCAGTCTCTATCGCACAGGAGGTTGACGCTTGCATTAGGAGGGAGGCCGTTCGTGATCGTACTCAGACATCTGCCCCAGCTCAGCCAGTTGCAGTTCCACCAGCTTTTCCAGCTACCCAGCCGCCAAAGAACAACAAAAGGAAAGGGAAGGGTGCCCCGGCAGACAAGAGGACCCGACGGAGGCTGCAGGAGATTCCACCATGCCCGACTTGTGGTCGACTTCACAGGGGAGAGTGTCGTGCTGGACAGGATATCTGTTATTTTTGCCAGGAGCCGGGACACTTTGCGAGTCGATGCCCGAAGAAGCTTCAGCAGCAGCCTCAGCAGCCACCACAGCAGCAGCAGCCACGACAGCCGGCACAGAGACCGCAGCAGCAGCAGCAGCAGAGGGGCCGGCAGCAGGCCAGGGTCTACGCGGTCGATCAGGCGGAGGCAGCACAGCAACCAGGTACCATGTCCGGGATGATCGTTCTTAATGGTATTCCTGTGTTTGCGCTATTCGATACCGGAGCAACGCATACCTTTATTTCACGACGGTATCTCGACGCCATCGGAGTTCATGCAGTTACCGCTATCGATCCTCTCGAGGTGAGTTTAGCCTCGGGACGAAAGATAGTGACCTCAGCCAAAGCCTTAGATCTTAGCCTTTCTATCGGTGGTCGAGTATTGACTGCCGAAGCGTTCGTTCTCGAGATGAAGGATTTCGATCTTATTCTCGGGATGGATTGGCTTTCTTTCTATCATGCTGACATCAGATGTCATGACCGGGAGATTACTCTCTATCTTCCGGGAGACGAGTCGATTACTTTCTTCGGCTCCAAGAACCGTTCACTGCCTCAGGTTGTTCCGATGGCGAAAGCCACTAAGTTATTGCGACGAGGCAACTGCCAGGGTTACCTGGTAAGCCTTGTTGAGGATTCGCAGAAAGCGCGGACGCCTCATGATGTCCCTATCATTCGCGAGTTCGTTGACGTCTTCCCAGACGAGCTTCCAGGAGGACCGCCCAACCGTCAGGTGGAGTTTTCCATTGATCTTATCCCAGGGGCCGGTCCAGTGTCCAAAGCCCCATATCGCATGGCGCCTAAAGAGCTACAGGAGCTTAAGACTCAGATTCAGGAGCTGTTACGACTCGGTTTTATCCGACCGAGTGTGTCACTGTGGGGAGCACCCGTTCTCTTTGTTAAGAAGAAGGACGGATCTATGCGTATGTGTATCGACTACCGGGATCTCAATCGGTTGACAATCAAGAATAAGTACCCGCTTCCCAGGATCGACGACTTATTCGACCAGTTGAGGGGAGCCTGTGTATTTTCGAAGATCGATTTACGGTCAGGCTACCATCAGCTGAAGATTAAGGAGTCAGACATCGCTAAGACCGCTTTCAGGACTCATTACGGCCATTACGAGTTTGTAGTCATGCCTTTCGGTCTCAGCAATGCGCCAGCAGTGTTCATGGATCTCATGAACCGTATCTTTCATCCATACCTCGATCAGTTCATAATTGTCTTTATTGACGATATCCTTATCTACTCGAAGAGTCAGAAGGAGCATGAGGAGCATCTGAGGGTGGTTCTCGAAACCCTCAGACGAGAGAAGTTGTACGCCAAATTTTCTAAATGCGAATTCTGGCTTCAGCGAGTATCTTTTCTGGGTCATGTGATTACCCAGGCAGGCATCGATGTGGATCCTTCTAAAGTTTCAGCCGTGCAGAACTGGTCGACACTGAAGAATCCGTCCGAGGTTCGCAGTTTTCTCGGATTAGCTGGTTACTATCGCAATTTTATCGAGGGCTTCTCCAAGATTGCCCTCCCTCTTTCCCAGCTGACGAGGAAGACT